TCCTCCAATCATGTCCTTCATTTCATTGCCCCTACAAGGGGAATTTTTTGTTTTTGAGGTGCTGAGGATGAAATACAGGGCTTTGTGCACGTTAGGCAAACACTACCACTTTAGCTAAACTCCTATCCCTTTTTATTTTGCTTTTTTAAAAAATGTATCTTTAAATTCTCTTTAGTCATATAAAGGGGGTTACCATTAATATTTGCTGTTAACATGTTGTTGTTGTTGTTATTGTTTTAATAGAGTCTCATTATCTTTGCCAAGGCTGGCCTCTAATTTGAGATCCTCTGCTTTTGCCTCCTAAGTAGGTAGGCACTAGCAGGCTCAGTTGCTGAACTTTTATTTTATTTTTGATGCTGGTCCTAGGGCTTGAACTCAGGGTCTGAGCGCTGTCCCTGAGCAATTTGTTTAAGGCTAGCATCCTATCACTTGAGTCACAGCTCTACTTTTGGCTTTTGATAGTTAATTAAAGATAAGTCTCTCACGGGCCTTCCTGCCTAGGTTGACTTCGAACTGTGATCCTCAGATCTCAGCCTCCTGAGTAGGTAGGATTATAGGTGTGAGCCATTGGTCCCAGTTTTTTGATACTTTTTATACCTCTGGCTCATTGTTTCTTGCTCCATGTAAACATATATGCCGTAGTGTACATATTTGAGGCTCCCTTGAGACTTGTCTACTGAGCTGTTGGGGCACTATTACCACGATGATGATGGTGTACTGAGAATGAGAGTTATCTGCATACAGATAGAACAAATGAATGTACTGTTTTAAAGATATCAGTTACAAAGCAGTATGTACTGTGCCCAGGCATTAACACCTGCTTATTATTCCTTTCTTCCCCTTCCCTTTCCCCTTCCTTTCCGCCCTCCCTCCCTCCTTCCTTCCTTCCTTCCTTCCTTCCTTGAGGGTACTGGGGCCTGAACTAAGTCTTCATGCTCTCATTCAGCTTTTTTTTTCCTCCAGCTTTCTTAATCAAAGCTGGCACTCTTACCACTTATTGCCCTGCCTCCATCTGGCATTTTATTAGAAAGATGTAATCTCACAGACTTTTCTGCCCACCTTGGAACTTTGGTCCTCCAGATCTCAGCCTCTTGAGTAGTTAGGATTACAGTCATGAGCCCTTAGCTCTAGTGTCTTTAAAAAGCCTGGTCCTTGAACTTGACCTACAAAAGACAACTCATACTTGGATCTGTTCACTTTAACCCTCACTTATGATGGCCAGAAGGAACAATGTTTTGCTCTAGTCTGCTTCTAAGAAACAAAGCGATTGTTTTTGCTCTTTGCTTAGAATAGAAAAGCTTCAGGAGTTTTATGTCCTTTGAAGGAAATACATTAAATGGGCAGCTCGTGCCAGATAGCAGGCGATGAGGACACCGAGGAAGCCACCCTTCATGAAGGGGCACTTCGTGAGTCCTTTTGCCTGTTTCCCACGGCAGAGACCATGGGGAAGAACTTTCTGGGACATTCCCACATGGCAAGAGAAAAATCTTGTATTTTTAAGAGTGTGGTTTCATAACCAGGTGAGGTGCAGCTGCTGCTTCCCTCTCTGCTTCTAGCATGTTCGTTCCACAGAGCTTGGTTGAAGTGTCATTCCTGTGCTCTGACACTGTCTGGGTCTTGAAGTTCAAAACCAGACCCTTCTCAGCTCCGCGCTCTGTCACAACAGAATGTACCTCCCCAAACATGTCCCCTGCGTTCCTTTCAAGTTTTAAGCCTCAGTGGCCATGATAACAGATTAGAAGCCCCCAAAATACATCTGCCATAGCAGGCAAGAGGGCATTAGGAAACTTCAGTCACTGTAGCTGGGTGCTGGTAGCTCACACCTGTAATCCTAGCTACTCTAGAGGCTGAGATTTGGAGGATTGAGGTTTAAAGCCAGCCCCAAGCAGAAAAGGGTACGAGACTCTTTATCTCCAGTTAAACCACCAAGAAGATGGAAGTGGAGCTGTGGCTCAAGAGGTAGAGCACCAGTGTTGAAGGAAAAGCTAAGGGATAACACCCTGGCCCTGAGTTCAAGCCCCGTACCAGCACACACAAAAATTCATGAAGGTCTAGGCTTTTGGTTCCAGTAATAGAGCAGCTGTGGCAAATACAAGGCGCTGCGTTTAAAGCTCAATAATTCCAGAAACATTCCAGGCCAAGACACCAGCAAGTACAAAAGCCCTGGGGTTGGGAGCAAGCTTGGCCTTAAGGAAGATGACGGTGTGGCTGGGTCCTGAGAGGTGGGAGATGTTTATCAACGTAGTGGTGACATTGGGCCTTATGTATGACTCTCTTCCAAATGAAGGAAACATCAGTCTACCTTGTTCCAAATTCCTCAGCACCTCACCTGACTGCAAACTGACCTCTTCCTTTGCTTCAACACGGAGGCTGTGCTCAGGAGCAAACTTGCCAGGGTCCGACCCACACAGTGCTCATGTCTACACACCTGCGTGGTCTTGGTTTGGGGACTACCCCTGACCTGACAGCGGGACGGGGGAGTGGGGAGGTGGGCCTGGTTCCGCACCGCTCCTTACCTTGGTGATTACTGTTAGCCACTGAGGCAACGGCTGGGTTAGAGCCCAGACCAATCCCAGCTCTACTCTTTACAATGTCCACAAATAAGATTCTTCTCTCCATATTCAGCAAGTGCTGCCTGTGGTGGAAAGGTAACCTTGGGCCGTGTGCCAGGACAGGGAGTCACGTCGCTCATACCCTTCAGTCTGCCCTTGTTGAAATGGTACCGTCAGTTCTAGTGTTTTCTCTCTTTCCTTCTCCCTCTCCCTGCTGTTTTTCCTTCTCTGTCTCCCTCTCCCCTCGTCTTTCTCCTTCTTCTCCCCCCTCCTCCTTTCTCCCTCTCTGTTTCGGTCTCTTTTTTTCTCTCTCGTCAGCAGCACCTTCCTCTCTTGGTTCCACTCTGAGCCGCAGTCTCTTCTGTGAAAGTAAGAACAGTGGAACGCTTCTATCTACTGTAATGGAAAGGCTTTCTCCGGATAGCTGCAAGAGGCCCGGACCTGGACACTCATTGAGTCATTCTTGTCATTGGCTCAGTATTTCATTCATTTACTCACTCACCCAAGATAGGGTCTTGCGATGTAGCCCAGGCTGGCCTTGAACCTGAGATCCATTTGGCCTTCAGCTGGAGTTGCAGGTGTGTACCACCACCTGCCTGATCCTGATCCCCACTGTCTATCCTCCCTCTCCTCTGTGGTGTAACTCTTCTTCCTGACACAGCCAGTGGCTGAATTTCCAGTCCTTATCTCACTTGCATCCCTCTCGCATCCCTGTTGCTGTGGAATGTTCCAGGAGAGCAAGCTCCTGGTTCTTATCCTTCTCACTGTTTCCCATCTCCGATGGCATTTTCCTTCTCGGCCCACCTCTCTAGTGTTGGCCTTCCTCCCGTCCCTATGCAGTGCCCATGAAAGTTCTCATGGTTCTGGCTCAAGGAAAGAAAGAAGAGACTACAGGGCCTCCCAGTCACAGGTGCCTCAGGTTTCACGTCCAAGGGGTTTCGATCCTCAGTTTTATCTAAACACGTCATGTGAAAATAGCCTAGACAAGGTGTGTGGTCTCCTAGTCCCCCTCCCCCACTCCCCCCAGAATGAGCCTGCTGGTTCTTTCCACCCCTCCCGATGGGGATTGCTGGCCCGGTGCTGGACTTCTTCCCTTCTTCTCCCATCAAATGTAATAACTGAGATCCAGGACATTTGCCTTTTGTTTTTTTTTGGGGGGGGGGGTCCGGTCGTGGGGCCTGAACTCTGGGTCTGGGCGCTGTCCCTCAGCTCTTCAGCTCAAGGCTAGCGCTCTACCACTTGAGCCACAGCACCACTTCTGGCTTTTTTCTTTCTGCTTATGTGGTGCTGAGGAATCGAACCCAGGGCCTCTGGCATGCAAGGCATGCGCTCTACCACTGAGCCACCTTCCTAGCCCCCCCTTTTTTTTTTTTTAAAGATAGAGGATCTCACTTTGTTGCCAACACACACACACACCACTATGCCTGGCCAGTTCTGCCTTCTAAATATTTTTGGAGTCCGTGGCTCCTCCTTCCATCCTCCTTCTCACTTCTAATTCAGGCCACCTCCCTTTCTTTTTTTGGGTTCCTCCAGGTTGAGCTATTTCAGCAGAGGAGCCCATCTGCCGCCCTCCTCGAAGCCCTTCATGGCTCCCGTTGCCGCTCAGTGTTTTTCTTTTCTCGTTTGTTTGTGACTAGGTCTTCCTGTGTAGCCCAGGCTGGCCTCACTCGAAGTCCTCCTGAGCCTCTGCCTCCTGAGTGCTGGGATTACGGGCATCTACCACCACACCTGGCTTACTACGAAATTTTTGAACAAGGCAGAAAAATGGCTGTGTGATTTGACTTCTCTGTTTTAATCTGCCCAGTGTCTCTACTTCTCTTCAACCTTCAGCCTCTCTCCCAAGCCTGGCTGTTTCTCCCTTTTCTCCTGTTCAGTTCTTTCTCATCCATTTGTTGCTTTCCTATTCTTGTTCATTTCTTGTTGCGCTCGTACATGAGGTTGAGTTTGGGATGTCCTATCTGGTACTGAAGGGATGCTTCTGATTTTGATTGTGGTTGTTTTTAGATGCATGCCTATATCCAGACACACTGAAGAATATGCTCTGAATATAGTATGTGCTCTTGAATGTCAACACTACTGAATGATTTACATATGATTTGCATGCATTTACATGCAATTTGCATGTGATTCCTCCCCTCCTTCCCCCAGGCCACTTAAGGAAGAAGGAGGGACCTTGGAGACATCTTGCTTGGATCCCTAGGTTCTGTTGTGGGTGTTCAATAAATACTCATGGAATGATATATACAACATATTAAGCCCTTGGATGTTAGCAGTGGCAGGCTCTCTTAATTTTCACATGTTAGCATGCTAATCCACCATGAATTTCAGGGTTATTGATTTAATTCTTCTGTTGAAAATCATCTGTCTCTCCTGGCCTGGATAATAACTTGAAAGCCTTGCCTTGTAGACACTATGTCACAGGAAGCGTGAACACGTGCCATCTCCACCATGGAGGACCCGGGAAGGACCTTCGGCTCCCAGGAGGAAGAGGCCACCTATTGGAAAGACCTGGCGATGACCTACAAGCAGAGGTCAGTCCTGCAAGTTCTGCTCTTGGCCCATTGTTGCAGGCCTACTGTGCACTGTAGGCCTATTGTGTGGGCCGCGAGGGGCACACCTGTTGTTCCTTCAGCCTGTGAGGGAAGTTGTCACGGTTCTCTGCAGATAAGCACACTGAGCTGCAGGGAAGGCAGATGACCTGCCTGGGGCCATAGCCGTGAGGAACAGAGCAGAACTTAGAACTACCTGCTGAGGCCCTTCACCATGGCGTGGTGCAGCCTCTCACCTCTGGTTCAGAAGGATCTTATCTGTCCTTTAAGCTCAGATCTGCTCAGATCTTCCTCTAGGGGAAAGAACTTTTCCTGAAAATCTGCAACTGCCTATGTCTGGGAGAGCTGGGGAGTGTGAGGGTGTGGGGTGGTTGTGTGTTGAGCAGTTTTCTTCCCAAGGAGTTTTATGATCTCCACATATCCAAAGTCATATTCTAGCCCATTTCCTTTCTCCTTGGACTCCCAATTTTCCTTCTTTAGTCTTTTGAATACTGGGATTATAGACGTGTGTTACCATAGCAGGCCCTTTCTTAGTTTCTTTTGCTGTCTGTCTCTTTTTTATGCTGGTATTGGAGCTTAAACTCGGGGCCTCATGCTCTCGCTTGGCTCTTTTTGCTCAAGACTGATGATTTACCATGAGTCATGCCTCCAGTTCCCAGCTTTCTGCTGGTTAATTGGAAATGAGTCTCACTGACTTTTCTGTCTGGGCTGGCTTTGAACTGTGATCCTCAGATCTCAGCCTCTTCAGTAGCTAGGATGACAGACGGGAGCCACTGTCAAGTTTCTATACTTTTGGTTGCACTTAGATTAGTGGAAAGTCCCTGACAATGTAGGGCTTAAAGGCAGGCCGAGGTTTGTGGTGTTCTGAGAACAGAGGATGAGGAAAGTGATAAGTTCACAGTTACTGATCGGTTGCTTTCTGGAGACAGACATGGAAGTAAGTCTGAAAGAAGCTACAAGATCTTGTAGATTTCCTACAGGTTGGTTAAAAGAGTAGGCATTAAGTGAATTGGTTAGGAAGTAGCTTTGGAGCTAGTCATTCCCAAGTTAGGTGCAAGTTCTGCTTCTGATGTCTCATGTGACCAGCAGACAAGTCACTCAGCCTGTCTAAATTATATCTTTCATGCACAAATAGTAGTAAAGATGCATCGCTCTTTACAACACCCAGTACACATTAACATACAATAAAAAATGGGCACAGGTGGCTTACACCTGTCATCCTAGCTACTCAGGAGGCTGAGATCTGAGGACCAAGGTTCAAGGCCAGTTCAGGCAGAAAAATATCTGGGACTCTTACGCCTAACCACCAAAAAGCTGAAGTGGAGCTTTGGCTCAAGTGGTGGAACACCATGTTTGGCCAATAAAGCCAAAGGACTGCATCCCCTGAATTTATGCCACAGGACTAGCAGCAAATAATTTTTTAACCTGTGTGTGTGTGAGTGTGTGTGTGTGAGTGTGTCTGTGTGTTTGTATTGTGTGTGTATGAGAGAGAGAGCGTCATGGGGCTTGAATTTGGGGCCTGGGTGCTGTCCCTGAGCTCTTTTGGTCAATGCTAGTCCTCTACCACTTTGAGCCACTTCTGGTTTTCTCGTGATTAATTCGAGATAAGAGTCTTACAGACTTTTCTATCGAGGTTGGCTCTGAACTGTGATCAGCAGATCACTGAGGCTTCTCAGATCCTCAGATCCCCTGATCTCCTGAGTAGCTAGGATTAAAGGCATAAGCCACCAGCACCCAGCAAATAAGTAAATTCTTACTGGACCTCTGGGAATTCTGCGGCAGGGCAGAGAACACGCAGGAGGAACTCCGGGAATTCCAGGAGGGAAGTAGAGAATATGAAGCTGAATTGGAGACCCAGCTGCAACAGATTGAGACCAGGAACCGAGACCTCTTGTCTGAAAACAGTCGCTTGCGGATGGAGCTGGAAGCCGTCAAGGTGAGGAGCTTGGGGCAGTGCTGGGGGGCTAGGTGAGTGGATCATCCACTTGCCCAGTGGGGCTGGCTGGGAGAAGAAGCCCTACAGGCTGAAGACATAACCCTGCCCACTCCTAGCACAGGCCTGCAGGAAGGGTGTGATCACTGCCCAAGCAAGTCCCACCTGGAGTCCTAGATCTCCAATTGAGGGGGGCCTTGCGGCTGCCCTGCACTAAGGAAGGGAAGCTCTGCAGTGTGCCTGTGTTTTGGCGAGGCTAAGAGGTCCCCAAGTACTTCTAGACAGAACTATTGAACCTGCAGAGGACCTGTTGGTCACAGGGCTGAGATAGAGGGAAGACATCCAAACCTGTGGTGCTGCCACCAGCAATGCCAGTCACCTAAGTCACGTCAGCCGAGTCAGGCACATGACAAAAATACAGAGGCCTGTGACAGATCCAGATCACACGTTCTGAGGCCACAGCTGAGCGTGTTTGTCTGGGGAGGTCTCCCTCTTGGAATTTTTTTGGAACCAACGTTAATTACTTAAGGTCCATCCCCTTTTGTCTGGCTATGGGTGCTGGCCGGTGGGAGAGAGCATGCGTGGGCATGTGTGTGCATGCGCGCACGCGCAAGCCCTTGTGTGCTTGGGAGTAGGGGTCTGGGCTGCTGCTTCCTGACGACAGGCCCGCACGCTCGGCTCCTGGCCAGGACACGAGCGTCAGAAGGGCTCCAGCAGCAGGATGGTGTGGGGTGACCTTCCTGTCGTCGCCCACCCCACCCCAAGTCGGGTGAGTCACTGGGTCCCTTGGCCGGCTTCTTTGTCTGGGGCCCCCGCCTCGCCACTCTGGCATCAGGCACCATGACATCATTTCCTGTCTCTTGGGGGGGGGTGGTTGCAGCTGAGTCTGAAAGAGGAACTTGACTTTGCTTTAAGGCTTCAAATGAAATTTTGGGCCTTTTTGTGTTTTGTGTTGTTTGAATCTGGGAAGAGTACTTGAAGAGAGAAGGCGGAGACAGAGAGGCGAGAAACAGAAAACAAGGAATGGTCAGCCCCCTTACTGACTTGCACTGAAATTGTTTAGGGCCATTTGGCATCTTTTGCGTTGTTGTTGCTGGTTTTTGTGCTAGTGCTAGGGTTTGAACTCAGGAGCTTGGTACTGATCCCTTAGCTTTTTCACAAATGTGAGTCTCAGACTTTCCTGCCCAGGCTGACTTTGAACCTTTATCCTCAGATCCTCAGCCTCCTGAGTAGCTAGGATTACAAGTGTGAGCCACCAGTGCCCAGGTCAGCATCCAGTGGCCTGGCCTGGACCTTGGCTCAGTTAACTTTGGGCTAGTTATTGGAGCCTTGATTCCCACACCTGTGAAGTAAGACAGCATTGTGCAGCAGCCAAGGGTAGCACAGATGTAACGAATGTTGGTTGATGTAGTAGGTAGCAGCCAATCACTGAGACTCATCTCGACTTGTCTCCACCCTTGGAAAGCAATAGCCAATCACTGAATTTCCTTTGGTAATTAACAACAGCTGTTCCCTTCTCTTTCTCTCCTCTCCTATCCCAAATGTTCCTTGTGATTTCCCTCTGCTGAAGTGTCTTGGATCAACTTAGGACAGTTGTCACACTAAGTACCTGATGCCCTCTTATTTTTTTTTTTTATTATTATTATTAAGTAGTTGTAAAGAAGGGTTACAATTCTGTAAGTCAGGTTATGAGGAAAATGATTCTTGGTCAGAGTCATCCTTCATTACATCCTAACCATCTGCACCTTCAAGTTACATAACTTTTTTTTTTTTTTTTTCCTGTCTTGGGGCTTGAACTCAGGGCCTGGGTACTGTCCCTGAACCTCTCTGTGCTCAAGGCTAGTGCTCTACCACTTGAGCCACAAAGCCACTTCCAGCTTTTTCTGAGTAATTTATTGGAGATAAGAGTCTCATGGACTTTCCTGTCCGAGCTGGCTTTGAACTGTGATCCTCAGATCTCAGCCTCCTAAGTAGCTAGGACTACAGGCCTGAGCCACCACTATCCAGCCATAGTTCATTTTTAAAAAAACAAAATGTACATTGAATACAATGCCCACTTTTCCTCACCCTTCCTCCAATCCTGTACACCCCCCTTTGCCCATTCCCTAAAATGCGTTTCCACTTTCCTGGCATTAATTTTGATAAACAGTGTTTAGTTGTTCAGAGTTGTGCCTTCAGATTCTTCCCCTAAGTTCATTCTCCTTTAGTCAGTTTGTTAGTGTGTAAATGCAGTGAGCCCTGTATGTGTTATCATACATACTTGTATTTTAGATCTAGCTTTCTCATATGAGACAAAATGTATCCTTAGTCTCTGAGCCTGGCTTATATCATTTGTTCTAGGTCCATCCATTTCTCTGCAAATGACATAATATTCCTTCAAATGAATGAATAAAATTCCATTGTGTATATGTACGGTATTTTCTTGAGCCACTCATCTATTAGAGGGCATCTGGGTTGTTGCCACAACTTGGCTATTGTGAAGAATGCAGCAATGGACGTGGACTAACGCAGCAAATGTCTTTACCGTATCCTGCCGAGTAATAGTCTAGGTAGATGCCCAAGAGTGGTATGGCTGGATCATAGACTTTATGTTTTGTGAGGAACCTCCAAACTGCCATCCAGAGTGATTGCACTCGTTTGCATTCCTACCAACAATGCAGTAGAGTTCCTTTTTTCCCATATCCCCGCCAGCATCCCTTGTTGTTTGTATTCCCAGTGCTGGCCATCTTACTGGGTGAGATGGAATCAGGGTTGTTTTGATTTGCATTTCCTTTATGGCCAGGGGTGTTGACCATTTCTTCCTGTGTTTGTTGACCCTTCTTCTTCTGAAAAGTCTCTTTAGCTCCTTTGCTCATTTATTGATTAGGTTATTAATCTGGGTTTCTTGAGCTCCTTGTATGTTTTGAACATAACCACTAAAGATCCCCCCCCGTCCATTGGCTGTCTTTTTAGTTTTGTAACTGTGTCCTTTGCTGTGCAGAAACTTATTAGTTTGGTGTCATCTTATTTGTCAAGTCTTGTTCCTACTTGCTGAGGCCCTGGGACTCTTCAACAAATTTCTGCCTCCGCCTGTAAGTTCTAATGTTTCTCCTGCTGCTTGTAGTTTCAAAGTTTCAAGTCTGCCGTTGAGGCCTTTGATCCATTTTGAGTTGATACCGGTGTCAGGTGACAGATCGGGATGTACTTTTAGTCCAGTACAGTGTACGTCCATTTTTCCCAGCACCAGGTACTGAAGAGGCTGCCTGTGGTCATCCTGATGTGAGGGCTCGGCAGCCACAGCTCATCACTGGCACTCAGTGGTACCAGTGTGTGAAACGGTGTGTGTCCAGTCACACACACGGCTTCAAGGCTGCGTGGAACTTTTGTTACCTGTGGACACTTTAAGTTTGTTTTTTTTTTTTAAATAAAGATTGATGGGGTTGGACACTGATGGTACATGCCTGTCATCCTAGCTACTCAGAGCTGGGATCTGAGGATCATGGTTCAAAGCCAGCCCATGGCAGACAAATCCAAGAGTCTCTTATCTGAAGTGCTATAGCTCAAGGGTTAAGCCCTAGCCTTGAGCAAAAAGAGCTCAGGGTCAGCACTCAGGCCCTGAGTTTAAGGTCCAGGACTGGCTTAAAAAAGGGGGTGGGGGGATGGGAATGTGGCTTAGTGGTCGAGTGCTTGCCTAGCATGCATGAAGCCTCAGCACCACATACACAGAAAAAGCTGGAAGTGGCACTGTGGCTCAAGCGGTAGAGTGCTAGCCTTGAGCAAAAGCAGCTGAGGGACACTGCCAGGCCCTGCGTTCAAGTCCCAGGACTGGCCAAAAAAAAAGCTGGTGGCAGCAGGGAGCAGTTTTGGAATGGGACAGGGGCACAGGTATGGGAACCAGGAGGCAGGAAGCACTCAGGACGTGGTTGAGACAGCTGGTAAGGACAGGACGGCTACCTGCCACGTCCTTCCCCTCCCTCCCCCCAACGCAGCTGTGTGGGGAGATAGTCTGAGCATCAGGGGAGACTGGATGAGGAGGTCTGGCCCTGCCTCATGGATGACGGCCAGGAGGTGCCCCTAAAGGCCATCAAACGAGGGGAAGGACCCCTTAAGAAGTCAGGGTGCTTGTGTGGGGAGAGCAGGGAGCGCAGGCCCCCCAGGAGACCAGCAGGGAAGAGACGGAGCCTGAGCTTGTCTCCGACACAGTGTGGGTGGATCTTGTCCTTCAGGAGAAGCTGGAGCTGCAGCACTCGGAAGGCTACCGGCAGATCTCAGCCCTGGAGGACGACCTGGCGCAGACGAAGGCGATCAAAGATCAGCTGCAGAAGTACATCCGGGAGCTGGAGCAAGCCAACGATGACCTGGAGAGAGCCAAGCGGTGAGCAGGGCGGGGGAGGTGGGCTGCCAGGCCCGTGTGCATCAATAGAGCTCAGTGGACAGTGGGCAGTAAAACAGATTTTGTCAAGAGCGGTTCCAGGTCCAGGCCGTGAGAGAACGCATAGGATATATTAATTTGGCCACTGGTAGGAGATTGTCAGGCAAGGCAAGAACATTCCAGAAAGAGCCACCAGCCTGTGCTCAGGAAGGAGGCATTTTCAAAAAGAATACTTAGTAGCTGTGGGGAGAGGGGTGGTAATAGTTTTTGAACTCATGCTTGCTAGGCAAGTGCTCTACCATTTAAGCCAAACCCTTAACCCATTTTGCTTTAGTTATTTTTCAGATAGGCTCTCACATTCTGCTGGGGCCTGGACCACAGTCCTTCTATGCGCCTGGTCTGCACACTTCCCAAATAGCAGGGATGACAGGCGTGTGACACTGTACCCAGCTTTTTGTTAGTAAAGCTTGGGGGCAGGGTTTCCTCTTGAAGTTTTGGCTTAGCTGGCCTTGAACTTGAGTCCTCCTATCTCTTGCTTCCTGAGTAGCTAGGATTACAGACACGAAACACTGTGTCTGGCTAAAGAACAGGATTTCTCAAACTGCTGCTCTGTGGTTTGGCAAGATAACTGCATTCATAGTGATGATTCTGACTAGAGGCGCTTCTTTGTGTGTGTCTGCTAGTATAGGGCTTGAACTCAAGGCCTCACATTCTCACTTGGCTTTTCTGCTCAAGCTTGGTACTTTACAGACTTGAGCTGCAGCTCAAGTTAATTGGAAATAAGAGTCTCACAGACGTTCCTTCCTCGGGCTGATTCTCAGATCTCAACCTCCTGAGTAGTTAGGATTATAAGGCGTGAGTCACTGCACCAGGCTGTAGACACTTTAAAAAAAACACCAAAAAACTTAAAATTCCTGTGTCCATAAATACGTATCATTTAAGGAAACAACATTTCTAGCTGAATGACTTAATGTTAAGATGCACACAGCTACAGTGTGCTGTTCTCTTGGCTTTGACAAAGGGACATATTGACACAGCTCAGGCCCAAACCAGGGACATTCCCTTTGCCTTCAGAGTGGTTTGTTGTTGTTTTTTCTGTTTTGTTTTTTGTTTCTTTTTTTTTTTTTTTTAGCAGTTGTTTTGAGGATGACACAGCTGTTTGTATTTCCTTCACTTAGCTGATCACTTCCTACAAAGTTTAGGATCACTTCCTACAAAGTATCACTTCCTACAAAGTGTAACATCTTTGCAACAGCTTTCACTAGCTAGCTCGATACTGTGCTGGAATGCAGGTATCTGTGCATCCAGCACATACATAAGAAAAATGGACTCCCAGCTACCAGGATAGAGTTTTTGTTTTAAAAAGGCAAACGTTGCCGGGTGCCTGTGGCTCACACCTGGAATCCTTGCTACTCAGGAAGCTGGGGATCTGGGTTCGAAGCCATCCATCCCAGGCAGACAAATCCACTAGCCTTAATCTCCAGCTAACCACCAAAAAGCTAGAAGTAGAGCTGTGGCTCAAGTGGAAGAGCGCCATCCTTGAGGGAAAAAAACTCAGGGACATTGCCCAGGCCCTGAGTTCAGTCTCCTAGTTCTCTCTCTCTCTCTCTCTCTCTCTCTCTCTCTCTCTCTCTCTCTCTCTCTCTCTCTCTCTCTCTCTCTCTCTCTCTCTCTCTCCCCCCCCCCCCAAAATGCAAATTCAGGCACATAAAACTAGCCACCCTCCCTCCCCAGGCATACTGCTTGACATCTGCCACTTTCAAGTGACAGTAGATCTTGGGCATTGTTCTGCCTGAGGACACAGCAATCCTTGTTCTTTGTTTTCCTTTTGTTTTGACATGTCTCTTTGTCTTCTGTTGGACAGTTGGTGATGTGCAGTACAATAATTATTTGTTAATCCACTACTCTGTGATGGGTTTTGTTGCTCTGCCATTTGAGCCATGGCTCCACCCTGCCTCTTTTGCTGGCTGTTTTGGAACTGGAGTCTTCCTGGCTTTTCCGTCTGGGATGACTTTGAACAGTAGTGATCATCTAGACCTTACCCTCTAGAGTAGCTGAGGTGACAAGGATGAGCCTCTGTGCCTGGCCAGATTTTTTGGTGGTGGTGGTAGTGGTTGTGGGGCTGAACTCTGGGCCTGGGCACTGTCCCTCAGCTCTTCAGCTCAAGGCGAGCGCCCTACCGCTTGAGCCACTTTTTCTGCTCGTGTGGTGCTGAAGAATTGAACCCAGAGCCTCATGCATGCTAGGCAAGCACTCTACCACTGAGCCACCTTCCCAGCCCTGGCTGGAGTTTTCATCACAGCACTTCATACTTTCCCACCAGTGCCGCGGACCGGCTCTGTCGGGACGACGGAGGACACCTAGTGGAGGAACTGGAACAGGTGGGGAGATGGCAAAGAGACAACTCACACTCAAGAGGAGTGGATGCTGAGTGCGATTTAATGCCGAGGATAACAAGCTTTTATAGCAAGAGTCTCCATGAGAAAGGGCAAAAGGTTACACAATCTTGCTGCAGGGCTTCGTTCTTGGGTGGTCACCAGCTGGTCGCCTGATCTTGTTTTTTGGATGATGAGCTATGACGATAGGTACTTGTTTTCAGCTTTACTTCTATTTTTAAGAAATACAATGGGTTTCGATGTTTATCACCAATTAACCATTAACCAGAGCATATGGCAAGGTGCTGAACAGAAAGGCATGAACTCTAGTACTTCATAGTTACTTTTGTTTAGTTTTGTACTTTATACGTTTTAAATCTTTTCTAAGCAATTGTGCTTAGAGGGTTCCCAATTTGTGGCCAAAAATCATGATATTCAGTATACTTAGTTAAATCTGGCCATATATCAAATTTAAGCTCATAGTGTCTTTTTTGTAACCCTTTCACATAATCGTTTACTCTTCTCCATAAGGCCTTAACTGTCTCATAAGATCTTTCTTGTTCCTTCTTTAATAGTAAGCACCAAGGAGGCCTAGATCTAGCAAGTCTCTCAGTAAATGGAAGAGAGTAATGGGAAATTCTTCTAAGTAGTTTACCCAACGGTTGCCATCCTTATTATACACACCTGTAACAGGCAATGGATCTGGTGGAAGTCTCTGGGGTCCTCTAGATAATGGAGGATCCCACCATTTTCCCCTGATAAGCCATTGCCACCTTCCATCTACCAACCTTTTAGGAATCTTATTTAGCTTTTGGTCTAAATATCCTTCTACATCTTTTTTATCTACAGGATATCTATATGAATCTATTGTATATGCTTTAGGATTAAAGGGAAGTCTCCAATAGCCATACACTCTTTCTGCTCTAGCCGTGCCTACAGCTTCTTGTAAATCCTTACAGACAATTCCTTCTGCTGAAGTGACGTCATGAAACCCCCAATACTTTCATATTTACTTATGACTTGTCTACTAGCCTCCACAAGAGGGGCTTTCAGGGTAGCACTTAACTCTGGTGAGTTAGTCATATTCTTAAGACACTCATCAGATGTTGGAGTCCTCAACACTTTTAAGAAAGAGCTTTGAATAAGGGAACGTTGAGCATGAGTAAGTACAATGAGCAGCAGGAACAGTAAGAGATTAATAGGCACTCCTATACAGTGAAGAAAAGAAAAACAGGAACAGAAACACATCTTTCCCAGGGGCTTGCCAGCCTTTCCAGGAGGTAGGCCTCTTTGAAGCCCCATTCTCTGAGGTAGACTTCGGTGAAGTCCCATTCTCAGAGATAGGCTTCTGTGAAGCCCCATTCTCAGGTCTGAAAGCAGGTTTCCCATGCTAAGCAGACTCCACCGGAGTAGACGTGGCACACCAAAGTGCCAGGAGAATGTCTGTGTGAAGACAACACTTCAGCCAGACAGTGGCTGGATGTTAGAAACTTTTTTTTGACTGTTTGGTGCCAGTACTAGGACTTGAACTCAGAGTCTAAGTGCTGTCCTTCAGCCTTTCACTCTACCACTTGAGCCCCAACTCTTACTTCCAGCTTCTTTTGTGGTGGTTAGAGATAAGAGTGTCACAGAATTTCCCGCCAAGGCTGGCTTTAAACCCTACCTTGTCCTCAGATTACAGGCATGAGCCACCAGCTCCCAGCAAATGCTTTTTTTTGTTTGTTTTTGGCACTGGGGTTTGAACTCAAGGCTCTGTGCCTTCTAAGCAGGTGATCTACCTCTTGAGCCATACCTTCAGCCCTGGGAACTTTTTAAACTTTAACAGTTAACTCACCAAGAGGTACAAGCTGGTTTTTTTCTGAGTGATTAAATGCAGGCTGCTGATTTCTAGTCAGCACTGAGTGTGCAGGGTGATGCCTGGGTGCACACACACCACGCCATGCACCTCCTGAGCACTCACCCACACACACACACACACACCACACCATGCACCTCCTGAGCACTGACACACACACACATACACCACACCATGCACCTCCTGAGCACACACACACACACACACACACACACCACACCATGCACCTCCTGAGCACTGACTCACACACACACACCACACCATGCACCTCCTGAGCACTCACACAACACACACCACACCACACCATGCACCTCCTGAGCACTCACACACACACCACACCACACCACACCATGCACCTCCTGAGCACTGACACACACACACATACACCACACCATGCACCTCCTGAGCACTGACTCTCACACACACACACCACCCCACACCATGCACCTCCTGAGCACTCACACACACACACACACACACACCCCACACCATGCACCTCCTGAGCACTGACACACACACACATACACCACACCATGCACCTCCTGAGCACTGACTCACACACACACACCACCCCATACCATGCACCTCCTGAGCACTCACACACACACACACACACACACACCACACCATGCACCTCCTGAGCACTGACACACACACACATACACCACACCATGCACCTCCTGAGCACTGACTCACACACACACACCACCCCATACCATGCACCTCCTGAGCACTCACACACACACACACACACACACACACACACACACACACCATGCACCTCCTGAGCACTGACACACAGACACACACCACACCATGCACCTCCTGAGCACTGACACACACACACACACACACCACACCATGCACCTCCTGAGCACTCACACACACACACACCACCCCACACCATGCACCTCCTGAGCACTGACACACACACACATACACCACACCATGCACCTCCTGAGCACTGACTCTCACACACACACACCACCCCACACCATGCACCTCCTGAGCACTCACACACACACACACACACACCACACCATGCACCTCCTGAACACTGACTTTCACACACACACACACACACACACACCACACCATGCACCTCCTGAACACTGACTCTCACACACACACACACACCGTGAACCTCCTGAGCACTGACAGGTCCCTCTGGGCAGGTAAAGAGACCCCCCAGAAGGCCAAGAGACTTGGGCCCTGGCAACCGACACAATACGCCATTGTTCTTTGGGTAACTTGGCCTTTCTCTCACCCAGAGCCACGATCATGTCTCTTGAAGACTTTGAACAACGCCTGAATCAAGCCATTGAAAGAAATGCCTTCTTGGAGAGTGAACTTGACGAGAAGGAGAATCTTCTAGAATCTGTCCAGAGACTGAAGGATGAAGCCAGAGGTCAGGGATCTTGGCCTGTTCTATATCTTCATCAGTGTGGCCCCCTTTCCCCCCTTTCTGCCAACATCAGGTACTATGGCCCCGGCGCCTGCCCAGCCCCTGTCATCTTCAGCATTTACAGACAAAGCTATAGGATGAAAAAGTTTTGGGGTTCTGAGATGACGCCCTTGTTTGGGGAGTTTCCCCTCTGGGAAGAAATCCTTTCAAGAAAGACGCTACCCATACATGAGTCACACATCAAGAGAGCTTGATGCTCAACTTGTGGGGAGGAAAGTCTGTTGGCTGACTTGCCAGCCCATTTTTTGTGACTTGTTATAATTAAAAACAAAGGCTTGGAGGGCTGGGAAGGTGGCTCAGTGGTAGAGCGCTTGCCTTGCATGCATGAGGCCCTGGGTTCGATTCCTCAGCACCACAGAAGCAAAAAGAAAAAAGCCGGAAGTGGTGCTGTGGCTCAAGTGGTAGAGCGCTAGTCTTGAGCTGAAGAGCTGAGGGACAGCGCCCAGGCCCAGAGTTCAGGCCCCACCACCGGACCAAAAAAAAACAAAAAACAAAGGCTTGAACTTAGGGCCTCAAGCATGCTCGGATTGCCCGCTAGTGGCTGCTACTCTACCACCTGAGCCATACCTCTAGTTCAGCGTTGTTAATTAATTGGAGGTAGACTCTCCCAGACTTTTCTGCCCTAGCTGGATGGAAATCACCTTCTAGAGCTCAGCCTCCTGAGTATCTAGGATTACAGGTATGAGCCACTGGCACCCCATCTATTTTGATAAAACCTTTTAACTTTTTTTTTTGGGGGGGGTCCGGTCGTGGGGCCTGAACTCTGGGCCTGGGCGCTGTCCCTCAGCTCTTCAGCTGAAGGCTAGCGCTCTACCACTTGAGCCACAGCGCCACTTCCGGCTTTTTTCTTTTTGCTTATGTGGTGCTGAGGAATCGAACCCAGGGCCTCATGCATGCAAGGCAAGCGCTCTACCACTGAGCCACCTTCCCAGCCTCCAACTTTTTTTTTAACTCAAAAATCCTTTAGTTTTTGCACACCTGCCAGGCAAAGCTGAGTGGGTTTCCTTCCCCTGAGGATTTTTCTCTATCTGCAGTGTTTCATCTGGCCTGCGTAGCTCTCCCCATCCCAAAAACAGGGACTGACTTTCTGGCTCCTTTTCCCACGCAGATTTGCGACAGGAACTGGCTGTACAGCAGAAGCAAGAGAAGCCACGGACACCCATGGCCGGTGTGGCGGAGACGGAAAGGACCGACACAGCAGTGCAGGCCACGGGCTCTGTGCCCTCCACTCCCGTGGCCCAGCGAGGCCCTGCCTCTTGTTTAAACACGCCGGGGACGTTCAGAAGGGGTAGGGATCCTCTCTGCTTTACAGAGCTTTCCACAGGGAGGACCTGGGCTGCGTTCTGGCTGGGGGGAAGAGGGGGGAAGGGATGACTTGGGCTGGGTTCTGCAGCAGGAAACAATCTGAAGGGCCAGTGCAGAATGAAAAGTGAGAGGAGGGTCCTGGGGGCGAGGGCAGAGGGAGCGGTGGAGTCTGCAGTAAAGAACGCAAATGCCCATAGAGGGGGATGCTGCCGCAAGGAACGCTGGAACGCTGGCATGCCGGTCCAGCAAGGCAGACCTGTCCATTCACTGAAAGCCAGCTCTGGTAGTTTATTCCTGTGGTCCCAGCTCCTCAGGCAGAGATGGGAAGATTGTGGCCTGAAGGTCCTCAGGAAAAAGCAGGAAACCATATCTAACAAAAGCCATATCTTAAAAAAACAAAAACAAAACAAAACTGGGTACTGGTGGCTCACGCCTGTTACCCTAGCTACTCACGAGGCTGAGATCTGAGGATTACGGGTTAAAGCCAGGCAGGAAAGGCCATGATACTCTTATCTCCAATGAACCACCAGAAAACTGGAAGTGGCGCTGTGGCTCAAGAGGTAGAGCGCTTGCTTTGCTGAGGGACAGAGCCCAGGCCTAGTTTAAGCCCTATGACTGGAAATAAACAAATAAATAAAGCTAGCTAAGCATCACTGGCTCATGCCTGTAATCCTAGCTGCCCAGAAGGCTTGAGATCTGAGGCTTGAAGTTCAAAGCCAGCCTGGCCAAGAAAGCTTGTGAGACTTATCTATAGTTAATAGGGAAAAAAAAACAGGAGAGCTGTGGCTCAAGTGGTAGAGCACTGGTCTTGAGCACAAAAGCTTAGGGACTGTGCCCAGGCCCTGAGTTCAAGCCCGAGGACTGGCACAAATAGCTAAAGCATCAAAGGACTAGGGACGCACCTCAAGTAGTAGACTGCTTGCTGAGGCCCTGAGTTCAATCCCTGCTACAACCAAAACCAAGCCATAAAGATGATATTGTACCATTTGTAAAGAAACAGAAAGATTTGGAAAAGTAAGCCATGCCCAGACAGACAAAGTTTGCATAAAATTCTCCTTGTAAAATTGTAAGTGAATACATTGGGTAGTATACAAGTGTAGTAACTGGAATACGGTAAATTCAGGAGAGATCTCAAATAGTATCATTTCTCAGAACGGCAAAAAACCAAAGTTCAGCAAAATAGAACACCAGGAAGCTGGTACACAAAGGGGTGGGGTGAGGTCAAGGGGAGAGAGATGCGTGAAGAGAAGAAGAGGTGGCTCACGCCTGTCATCCTAGCTACTCAGGAGGCTGAGATCTGAGGATCATGATTCAAAGCCAGCCCGGGCAGCAAAGTCCGAGAGTCTTATCTCCAATGAGCCACCAAAAAACCAGAAGAGGTGCTATGGCTCAAGTGGTAGAACACTCGCCTTAAGGTGAAGATCTGAGGGACAGCGCCCAGGCCCAGAGTTCAAGCCCCATGACTGGCAAAAAAAAAAAAAAATGAATCCAATGTTTATCCTCCAATATTAAGAAAAGGGAGGGAAGAAGTGGCAAGGGGGAGGGGTGGGTGAGAACGGTACATTGGAAGGCGTGACCTTGCCCAAGATGCATTCTTACACTGCTTTGTTAAATGACAACTTCTTGGTACAACTGCTCGAAGATAACAAGGAAAAAGATTAATGTGTAAAATAAATGTTTAATCCTTTCAAAGACTCAGAGCTGATCGTCCAGCAGAGCCTGGGCACCTTGTCCGTTTAACTCCTGAGTGAACTGGGACACACTGGGAGTGACAGAGATGACATCGGCTGCCCCTTTCCCCTTTTCCAAAACCCTCCCCCTCCTTCCCCTCCCCCTCCTTCCCCTCCCCCTCCTTCCCCTCCCCGCCTCCTCCGTGGTTTGCCCTCAGAGGCGTGAGTACACGGACTGGACCGTGGGCTGTGTGTGACGTGAGTTTGTCATGTCCCCAGGTCTGGACAGCTCCCACAGTGGGACTCCACTCACGCCTGCGGCCCGGATCTCAGCCCTCAACATCGTGGGAGACCTGCTGCGGAAAGTTGGGGTGAGGCAGCGCCTTCCAGGGGGTCTCCTGTGTCTTCTCCTGTCTTCCAGGCTACGGAGGGGTTCATTCTACCAGGCCCTCTCCTCATGAGTCTTAGCCACCTGGGCCGTCGTTAACCAGTCTCCAGACGTTTCTACTGCTCCCAAGCCAACTCCAGCTCAGCACTTGGGGATATCTTTTTGATTATTTTTATTTTGTTTGTACCACTTTTGGAGCTTGAACTCAGGGCCCGGGCGCTGTCTGTGAGCTTTTTCATTCAAACCTGGTGCTCTACCACTTGAACCACATCTCCACTTCTGGCTTGTTTGTGGTTAATTGGAAAGAAGAGTCTTAAGCACTTTCCTGCCCTGGCTGGCTTCAAACCTTGAGCCTTAGATCTCAACCTCCTGAGTACCTAGGATTATACACACGAACCATGACATCCAAATAGGGGTATCTTTTTTTTTTTTTCCAAACCATTTTTCCTTCATAATTGAGATAATAGGATGGTGTGTATTGTTTTGATTTGAGAAAAACAGGCAATTTAAGAATATCTTTCTGGGCTGGGAAGGTGGCTCAGTGGTAGAGCGCTTGCCTTGCATGCCTGAGGCCCTGGATTCGATTCCTCAGCACGACACAAGCAAAAAGAAAAAAGTCGGAAGTGGCGCTGTGGCTCAAGTGGTAGAGCGCTAGCCTTGAGCTGAGGGACAGAGCCCAGGCCCATGACTGGACCAAAAAAAAAATAAAAAGAATAGCTTTCTGCTGGGCACAGTAGGGCACACCTGTATTTCCTGCACTCTGGCTAGTGAGGCAGCATTACCAAGAGTTTGAGGGCACCCTGGGCTATGAAGTGAGATCCTGTGTTAGAAAGGAAAAACAAACCAAAAACAACCCTCCCCTCTCTTGGGGGAGGGTCTCACAGTTCAGTGGAACATCTTGTAAGTCCAGAATAAACAACCTGATCCCCCCCCCCCCCCCCCAGGTAATTACAGGGAACGATTCTTATGCTGAAGCAGTAAGCTAGGCATTCTGTCCAGATTCTTCTTTTATTCTTACAAATGACGCTTGGGAGGCCATATCATTCCTCTCCTGGGTGTGGGCTGGGCTCTGGCTTTCTGTTTGGAGAGTGAGCCTCTGCGTGTACTGCAGAGCGGGCTCTTCTGTTTCCTCCAGCTCCGATCAAGTCCTTGTTCAAATCTGCCCTTCTATGCAGGTTTAACAAAAGAGGGAACAGTCCCCAAAGTTGATGTCTCCTGTTTCCCGGCTCAGCAGTGTTCCGAAGCTCCCTGGTGCTTCCGAGCCTGGGGTTCTGTGAGCCCCTGGGGTCCCCGTGTGTTCCCAGCCGGCAGTGCGTGTGGCTTGTGTGGTTTTGTCCTTCCAGCTGTGGGGCTGGGGAGTTGTGTCTGTAACTTGCATCCTTCTCTCTCCAGGCCCTGGAGTCGAAGCTGGCGTCCTGTCGGAACTTTATGTACGATCAGTCCCCAAACCGGACAAGTGGCCCAGCCTCGGGGCGGGGCAACAAGAGCAGAGACAGCGGAGACCGGCGGCCCGGTAGTGCCAGTGGACCTTTGGGGGAGAAAGGGTCAGTACCTTTCCTTGCTCTCCTTCAGGGACCCCTGGCTGGCCCCACTCACCACCATCTGGTTTGTTGGTGGTGCCCATGCTGGGGCTTGAACTTGTGACCTGGGCACTCTGGCTTTGCTTTTTTTGCTCAAGGCTGGCACTCTATTACTTGAGCCACAGCTTCACTAATGACTTTTTGGTGATGAATTGGAGATGAGTCACGTGGGCTGGCTTTGAACTGAGATCTGAGACTCTCAGATCTTAGCCTTCTGAGTAGCTAGGCTTATAGGTGTGGGTCCGGTGCCATAGCCGCTGCTCCCTCCGCCTGAGGTAGAGTTAGGCCTCATTGGCTTTGAACCTTGAATCGTCTGATTTCAGCCTCCTTGAACAGCTAGGATGACAGGCGTGAGCCACCAGTGCCCTGCTTGGCTTTGGGCTTCCTAGGCCAGGGTTTCGCTGTTTGACCTTGGGGATGTGACCTTGGAGAACCTGATGGCCAGCCTCTTTTCCTTCCTTCCACAGGAGAGAAAATTGAGGCCTGGGAGACCCAGCTCCCAACTTTCAGTGTTCCAACCCCGTGGGCACTGGTGGCTTGTCACTCCTGGCTTAGCCTGGCCCCTAAATGTGGTTTGCTCTGTCTGAAGGTTGGGGAAACGCCTGGAATTCGGGAAGCCGCCCTCCAGCCCGTCACCTGCGCTGCCGTCCGCCCAGGGTGTGGTCAAGCTGTTGCTTTAGGACCAGGGAGCCGGAGCCCCATCTGTCTGCCTGCCTGTCTGTCTGTCTGTCTTGCGTTTGACACCTCCCGCCCTGTCCACTCACCTTCCTGCCTGTCAGCTTTTGGTTTTTTACTTCCTTCTTAGAGAACTAAGAGCCGTTGCTTCCTAGCTCGCCCTGTGCTGTGTGGCCCAAGTCAGTCACTGCGGGCATCAATTGTGGCCCTGGTTTTGTCCCTGTGAACAATGTCACCATCCCTACTTGCTGTCTGCCAGGCCCCAGGGAAGGTTCCAGAGCATAGGTAGCCACCCCATCATGGGCACCCGAGTCTAAGGTCCCCCATTTCCTGCAGAGGGACGTGTGCTTCACATCCCCCACCCCCTTTTCCTCTCCCAGGCTCCACCCAGAGGGATCTGCCTTCCAGAACAAACCAGCCCCCCATGGAGTGTCGTGGCCTGTATAGGAGTGTGGTGCGAAGGAGGCTTGGTCGGTGTGGGCTCTCTTTGAACGCTCCTGCACCTCTGGTACTTGAGAATCTGCCTCTCACGAGGTTTGTGGACGCATGCTTGACCGTGGTGCCCAGGCCTGTGGGGACTCTCCGCTCGGCCGCCCTGGCTGTCCCGAGTGGAAGGGCAGCGCGGCAGCAGGACTCAGCCGGGCAGGTGACACGCCGGCCCAAGATCCCTTGCCCTGGGCCTGCTGGCTCTGCGGCCCCGGGCTCGGGAGCCACGCCAGCGCCCTGCCCTCCCCAGCCTTGGGACACACAGGTGTCACAGCGCATGCGCGCCGTCACCCCCCCCCCCCCCCCGGCCCCGGGACACACTTGTGTGTCACCCACACTGCTCGCCTCGTTTACCGGACAGGTGAGGCCACCTTGCGTCGGGGCCGGGACCCCTCAAGGCTGCTGACGCTCCTCACGAGGATGTTTGTCCCCTAAAACGTGCGAACCCTTGTTGGCACAAAGGTGGACTTCTTTTTTTAAGGAACAATAAAATCAAGAGAAACTTGTGCTCAGCCGCTTTGTGGTGTGGTCAGGAGATGCTCAGGCCGCCGCTCACAAGTGGGAAATGGGGTCTTCAAGATGCGGATGTGGAAATCAGAAATGGGCTTTTTTAAGAGGCCTCTGCGGGTGTGCGTGTCACCCCGGGTCTGGGCCCTGGGTGGTGCTGTGGCGTCTTTTGTCTGTGCGGTTGGTTGCTGTTTTCTCGTCCGTCCTGGGCAGGGCTGGCCTGAGGGATCATGTGTGGAATGGAAACTTCCTGATGCATGTCTGTCCAGACGCTTGTGCTAGGCGGCAAGGGCCTCGGCCTGTTTTTTAGGACCCCAGCGCTCAGAATGGCTATTCAGGGGGAGGGTGGGTAGGACCTCCCTGTGAAGTCCAGGCTGACCTCATACTTGTGATCCTCCTCCTCCTTCCCAAGTGCAGGGATTACAGGTATCTGCCACCATGCGCTTGCTCTTACGTTTTTAAGTGCTGTTGCTTTTTTTTTTACTTTGATAGTGAATGTAACAAACCAGATGTAACCTGCCAATGTGAACTGTTGACTGTCTGGCTTTTACAGAAGCTGTTTGCTGACTCGTTGTTTTAAGTGAAAGTCACATCTAGATAGCACAACAAGGATGTGTTATGGACAAGGTTAAGACCAGAGCAGCTGAAGACTTGGGGGGTTTGGGGTGACGATGAACTGTTTGCGTGTACAGAATGAGGTACCCAAGTGGAAACACAAATCCACTTGTTTGTTATCCGCAGAGCCTGACGTTTGGACAGTGACGTGTCACCTGAGGGCACGGGGTTTTCCGCAAGTGGAGGTGGTGGTGTTCAGAAGGGGCTGGGTCTGGACTTGGGTGAGTGCCCCGGCCACTGGCAGCCAGTGCAGCCTTCAGGCAGTCATACTGCCTCATCCCCTCCTTCTGAGGGGGAGACAGTACTGGGGGTGCCAAATTGGGGTTCAACCATGTAAACCCACCTCCAGCTCCTTTTTACATTGATTGGTACCCATAATAGGCTCTGAATTTGGGGCTCTGAGCAGACACACTGTGTTTGTTTCTGAGTGATACTTTACCACTTGAATCGTGCCTCCAGCCCAGCTTTTTGCTGTTTCATTGGAAATGGAGTCTCATGGGCTTTTCTGCTTAGGTTGGCTTCAAACCTTGATCCTCCTGAGAGCTCCCTGAGTAGCTAGGTTCACAGCTGTGAGCCACCGGTGCCCGGCTTGGTTATTTTCAGGGTTGTAGTTTGGCTTTATGCCAGGGCTAGCCTGGGCTCTGACTCTCCTACTTGTGATTTCCTGAACCACTGAGGATGACAGGCTCACGCCACTGTGCCCAGCTGTCACACATCTTCCTCCTGTTGCTGGGATAACAGGCGAGCACCACCACACCCGGCCACTGACTGAGATGGGGTTTTGTGAACTTTTACGCCTGGGCTGGCCCAGCCTTCCCCACGTGGCTGGGGTCACAGGTTTGAGCCGCTGCTCCCCATTGTGCTTTTTCTTCTTGCCTGGGCTGTCTAGGGATGGAGCCCAGAGCCTCACACGGGTCGGGGAGTGCCACCAGGTTGAGCCACGCCCGGCCTCAGCCCCTCCCTCCACCGGATCGCCACCTCAGGCCTCAGTTCCCCAGCTTACCAAATAGCCCTGACTTCCTGTCATTGCTGGGGTTCACCCCCAGCACCCCCCGTGCTTTGCTCTGCAGAAAAGGGCTGGACAGAAGAATCCCACCACCTTTCTGGTGACTTAGAACCTTTTATTAGTGCACGTGTCGGCAAGTACAATCCGGATGCAAGCAAGACAGTGTGGCATCTCTGCTTGAGCCCTGGGCTTCCCGCGTTAATTCCCGAGACTACAGGAGGCGCTTGCTGTGTGGTCTGAGGCGTGACAGGCAGGGCAGGGGAAGAAAAATTCCTAAGCAAGGGTCTTTCTGGAGAGGTTGGGGGGTCCGCAGGGAGGAAACGAGTTGGGGCCGTGAGAGGGCAGTGATGCCCATTTGGCAATCCCCCAATTCATGGAAACCCAGCGCCGGTGACTGGTTATCACGTGTGTTTTGCCCAGAACTGGCCATCAGGGCACGCGCCACCGTCAGCGGGAGGCCGGGCCGCGTCTCCCGATGGACTTCTAAACCCAGGATGGGCACCTGCCGGCGGGGGCGGCGCCGGCGTGGTCGTGGTGAGGGGTGCGGATGCCATCTGCAAGTCGAGGACGGACCAGAGTCTGCGGGGCCTGGCGGGCTCACTCGCTGGATTTCATGCCGTTGAAGTCTCCATCCCTGGACTCTGTTTCTTCCTCGGAACCATCCGCATTCTCGATAACCCTGCGGCCTCCGGACCTTCTGGAAGGGATGAACGCTGTCTCGTTTCCTCTCCTGTGGGTTTGAGGCAGAAGAGGCGCCCAAGAGCTTTAGCCGTCTCTTTCTAGCTTGTTTTACAAGAAGCAGAGACGTCCAGACCAAATGCCAACAGTCAGCAGAGAAGAGTCCGGCCCAGGGTGAGAAACCCTGGCAGAGCTTAAGGTATGGGGGTGGGCCGCGTCTAATCAGGGGCATTGTCTGCTTTCCAAACTGTCTGGCTTGGTCATCTGATGCTCGGGACCCTAGTTCCTGCAATCTGGGATTGGAATAGAAGGGCAGGTGAGGGCTAAGTCCCCTATCTTTTTTTGGGGGGGGGTAATAGAACAACCTGCTGTGCTGTAGCACCCCCCTCTCCCTTTAGAAGGCAAAGGGGACAGGGCTAGACTTTCAGCTGATTTGAAAGTTCACAGCCAGGGCAGTGTGATGAGATGTGGAGGGAGATGGGGCCCCCCCTACCAGTGCGAAGTTTCCCTCTCCAGATCCCCCAAAGGTGGGGATTGTGTCTGGATGGCTTGGGTTCTCGGCGCACCACGGATGTGTCACGCGTGGCATAAAGTAGGAGCTCAGTGAACGTGTTTTGGTTAGCTACATAAGTTACATCTTCGTGTGAGTGTGTGTGTGCGCACCAGTACTGGGGCTTGCACCGAAGGGCTGGGCACTGTCCCCGAGCTTGAGTAAAACTCAAAGCTGGTACTCTTACCACTTGAGCCAACGGCTTCATTCCTGTCCTTTTTGGTAAAGTGTCTTGTAGATTTGTCTGCCTAGGCTGGCTTGTGATTCTCCACCCCTAGCTCTCAGACTCCTGAGTAGCACAGATTACAGACATGAGCTGCTGGTGCCGGCTGGTAAATTACATCTTAATGCAAGGTGCTCGTAGCGCCAGCAGGTAGACACGGCTCTGTCCTCGCTGCCCCTGTCTCCTCAGGCCTTTGCCCATCTCGCTCTGTTATCCAGGCCCATCCTGCCTTCACAGGAAGGGCTAAACATGGGAAGGTGGGTGGGAGGGAGACGTGGGCAGGAGGGGTCAGAAGCGGATCTACTGGGCACTAGCCTCTCTGTTGGGAACTTCAGTGGAATTTTACGGTTGAACATAGCCTGTGACTCTGTCCATCAGGCCCCATTTGACCCAAGTCAGAGGACAAGCCTTCACTCCTTCTAGGCCATCTAAGCGCCCACTCCAGTGCAGGAAGACTGGGCCGAGAAGCCAGGAGATGAGCTCACCCATAGACAGACCCTCCAATCAAAGGAACAGCTCAGACAGGTAAAACCAGAGGTGTAAGCAAGACCCAGAGATTTCCTGATCTCTGAGAAGGGGGCCCCACTAGGAGCCTGTACAGCAATCAGGAATAAATACTTAAAAGTTGTAGCCATTCCCGATATAAGCACACATACCCCTGCCCCCAGATGCATGGGGAGCCGCCTAGACTTCTGCTCCATTAGGAAAGGAACTCTCCACCCCTTTCTTTCCAGCACTGAGAAAAGGTTCTAGAAGTCTGAGGTGTGGAAATGAACATCAGCCACCCTTGTGGGTGGGGTCACAGGACCCCCCCACCCCATCTGAAGTGGGTAGGCTTGCCAAGGCAGAGGAAGGGGGCACTGCCTCTTGGCACTGTGCTGGCTTGTCAGAAGAGCTGAGGGATCTCCTGGCCTCTGATCTCAGCAGCAGATCTGTCCTGGCTTCAGGCCTTTCCTGGGCTAGTTTAAATCCAGCTGGGTTACAAGAAGAGCCCCTCCAGAGGCCGCCTGAAGAGGGTCTGGCCCTGGAGAATTTTGTGTTCCATCTTGAGTCGCTTGTCTGAGGCACGGTGGGCCACGGCAGCAACAGACCAGCTCGGCCAAGTTGGCAGGGGGGCTACCCTAGTGCCCCCCGCCAGCCCACTCACAAGCTCCTGGCAAAAGCTGACCCGGCTTTAAGTATTTGGTAGCAGTAGCCAAGCGGAGCCTCCAAAAGAAACACAGACCCAGACAAGGGCTCATTGGCCTCTCCGAGCCTAAGAGAGAACTCAAGCCCTTTATAGGCACAGACAAGTTCCCAAGAGCCCAGAGAAGCAGAGGCCTCTGCGCCCCGTTGAGCAGGGCCCTGGGTGCCCACTCCCCCGAGTGCATGCAGGCCCGGAGCGGGGGCGTGGCCAGTCCCCACGCACGTGCACCACGTGCTCAGGTGCTCAGCGCAGCGGTGGAGGCGGAGCTGTGGGAGGCCAGGCTGTGGGCTGGGGTCAGACCCAGACCAGCTGGGCAGAAGCCACGCCCAGTCTGCAGAACAGACAGTGCGGGCCTGTCGCGTTTATCACGTGGATTTCTTCACCCTGCACGAGGCAGCGGCGCCGCCCGGCATCCTGACCGTGGAGGAGTGACTTCAGCGTAAAGGTAAGGAAAAAAGAAATCTAAGTGACACATGCCCTGCCGACAGACGTCCGCAGGACGGGGTGGGGATGTGGCAAGGCCCCACTGTTTTGA